AGGCAGAAGTAGCACGATTATAATATGGTGATGACGATATGCGGTCGTAAACATGGATTTCCTTTTCAATTACAACTGTTTATCCTGTGGTATATGCTCACTTCTTCAAAAGATGGTTCAGTATTATTATTAATATTATTGTTCCCTTGGATTCGAATGTGTAACATAGGGCCTCACCAACACATTTTCTCTTGGTCCTGTTCTCTGCTGTCGTCTTTAGATTACTCATAGTCTCTCATCTCTAAGCCGCACTAGGACAACCTACTCGTTTCACATTCGGGTTCCACTGGAGGAGTGGACTGCATTGCACGCTATGTGTTATTCAACGATCTCATTGGCATGTGTCCAATCTTTTAATAATACAGAGAAGATTTTGTAGCTCAGGTGGATGATTCGCAATTCCTAATGTTCTCATAGCTGGTTGGTTTAGTTGCTGTGGAGCTTTCGTCGTCCTTCTTCTCGACAACATATGTCTCCAATGTCTTTGGAATATTTTTTTTTCAGCAATAGGTTCTTGACTGGTTTGTTCCCAGAGTTCCTTCTTTTAGATTTCCTCCGACCGTCTGATCTTCAGTAGGGAGGGAGCCAGCCGGCAAAGTAGGCAGCTGTTGATGGAAATCCTTTTCGTGACTGACACGCAGTGCAAGTTTTCGAACCATATAGATGAACTGACTGGTTTTACATTTGTGTTGACAATCCCGGTCTTGTTCTTTGTGCTGGCTGATTCCCAAATTGGTTTCAGGTTGATGAAGGCCTTTGACATCTCCATCCATTCCACCTGTAATTGAAATGATGACGACTAGGTAAATAAAAAAAAAAAAATTGACCCCTTTCACCTTTCTCCCTTTGACAGTGATTGGTGGTGGCTTTAGTTGGTGGTTATCTTCATCACCCCTCCGTCTTCTCTGTATTTACCTGGAGTCGTGTCTTTGCTGGCAGCTTCTTCAGACAGTTGTTTGGTTTTTGCCTGTTAGTTTTCGAGTTTGTGTAGCATTAAACATAAATCCAGATCGGTTCAACGTACTTTTGTCTTCTCTCTCTCGCTACACCAGCATCTGCTGAGTGATTATGAATGTCATCGTCGGTGATAATAGTGGGCAGTCTTGTCTTGCTCTCCTATTCACTGTAAACGACCCGCTGAGTTCTCCTGTGTGGTGGATCACCTGACGCTTGTCATTGTCATATAGCCAACCAGCTGATGAATGACGTTGATAAAGATTTGGAGCATTGTATTCCATAGTGTTGAAGTGGTTTCCAAATTACTTCGTGGTTAACGCTGTCGAAGGCGTTTTCAAAGTCTATGAAATTGTCCAGCTCTAGTAAGCTTGGTGAAGTTGGTTGAGTGTTACCATGAGTCATAATTCTACTTTACTTATGTTTGGCGGGTTGACTAACAGTGAGATTGGGGAGATAATACTTTGGTGTTTGTATTCCCTTTGTATTCTTTATTCACTAACAGAATTGCTGCCACACGTGTACCACTCTGTGAAGAAATCTTGATATGTTTGGCATACTGTTAGTCCCCCGTTAAATGTAAGATCATGCTACAGTACTGGGTTGTACACCACCTCCTAGTTTAACGACAGGCGTCGAAGTGAAGTAATTGAATCTTTTGTCTATCTCAGTTATTTGAGAAGTTGCATTAGTCCTAGTGGGTTGGTCACTGAAAAAATTTCGACTCTGATACAAGAGGCTCTCATAGCATTTGTCAGCCTACATCACCTTTGGTGCAAGCGTGATATCCGTGTATCGATCAACGGACGTGAGTACTGTGTAGCAGTTCTCCTCGTCCTTTATGTCTTACAGGACGTGTCATCGACAGTGGAAGACATGAAAGGGCTAACTCTAGTCACAGATGTTTGCTTTTCATTTCTTTCGGTGTTGAATAGTACAATATGCTGAGTAATATTGAGGTTAGGCGTCAAGCGTTGATTAAAGAGGATAAGTCAATCGATAATGTTGTGAAACTGCCGTTACCGCCTTCCTCGTTTATCCGTTAGCGTTAGCTGATACAGGATTAGGTTGAAAGAGAATTAGGGGTGATCAGACGAAGATCTTGCATTAATTTTTTAAAAATTCTTATTATAGCTTAACTCTACACAGTATTTTTGATACAAGTATGGAATTTCCAGCATGTTATATATCGGTTGCCAAATTTAGCAGGCCAGCCATTGGTATCAGGGGTGCGTCGGCCGGGGATCGAACCACAAACCATGTGCATCGTCGGTGAGCGTCCTAACCTCTATGCCACTGACGCACAATCTGTGAAGTGTCTCACGGTTGCCTTGAGCTAACCATTACCCACTGGTTGGGGATCTTTGAGACATTAAGATTGTATGGTTGGAGACTGTTGGTGGTGGTGATATGGCTGACTCAAAATTGTTCTCAATGGCACAGATGTGTCCATTCTTTGTGGTCTCCCGTATTCATTAATGACGTTAGCATTCTTTCCAGACAGTCTAGAGTTCCTTTGAATTTATTGTCTCTACGTTTTTGTGCTCTATGGAGTATGGGAACTTGAACCACTGTAAAGTCCCAGGTTGAAAACTGAATAAGTTAGTCACATAATTGCCTGTGTAAATATTAGGGCTTTCTGTTTGAACTTTTTGGAGTAATCCCGATAAGTAAGTGGCAGTGTGGAGGGTCTTAAAGATATTCAAGTGTTGGTTTTCAGCGATTTGATTTGACTGGTTACAAGATTTCATCATGAGCTGACATCAATTAGAGAACCATTAGAAAATCACCTACCTGGGAGTACTGAACAGCTGTTTCATCGTAGTTTGATACTCTTCACCAGCACGCACCCTCCACCAGGGTTTGAAGCCACGACCATCTTCGGTTACAAGGCGAGATCATAAACCATGAGGACGAATTATCGCCGATGACATTGGCTAGTGTTCTCCCTAAAATCAGGAATTAGTAGAAGGTAGAATTCGTGGGCAGGTCATTGAGTCGGATCCCAGTGACTTAATGATCTACAAGCTCGCCTTGTAACCAGCAGGCCCTGTGTTCCAATCCCCTGGCAGTGGTTGCGTACTGCTGAAGGTTATAAAAGATGTTTATGCATAAATCACTATAGCACTTCAACGTGATGCGTAGGAACTTATGCTAATTTCCATTTATATCAGCCATCTAGCGTGGTAGCCAAATTGCAAGCTTGACTGATAGAATTCAGTCTGCAGTGAAGATAGGTCTAGTCACATTACACTAGTTACTGACTAGTGTGTCCAGTCAAAAATATCCAATACAGTCCTACAGAAGATCAATTGCGAGCCTGAATAGCTCAGTGATGGTAACATCTTTGACTGCAACACTCACTGGGTGACGTGGTTTCAAATCTCAGAAGAGACATGGGTTCCCTCAAGGTGGTTGCAGATACGCCTTGCTGTGATGAGTGCCAACTAGCACGAAACCTAGGTCTTGACAAGGCTTCCTTTGGTCGATTGCCTTCAACCATCTAATACCAACGATCTGATATCTGTAGTATTCTATTCAATTTAATTTATTGTTGACTGTTGTTCACTCATGCACCTTTGCTACTGTATACACTCTTAATGTTACTGCTAACATTTATACACTTCAATGGCCAACTGTCTCACACGTAACTGACGATATAAAGTGCTTTATAAAGTCATACTATAACACGGGCAACTGGAAGAGGTTTATGTTGTTGTGCCAAGCTGCCAGCGACATTTCTTGTGTAAGGCCTGTTAATATTATCCAGTTCCGCAGGTTGATTTAGGTATACCGGAATTCCAACCCAGGATCCATTGCATGAAACTCGCTGGCTGGAAAAGAGCTAGCGGCAGTCAAACTAAAACATGGCACCAGTTAATAAAATTCACGACAGTTAGTTTAAGCCACTCAGCCACGTAGGAAGGTGTAGACCTGGTTGGAGTCCTCGGGTGGTAAAAACCAATGACAGCTGGCGACAGTTGGTGATACGGCTCAAAATCGTTGTCAATGGCTGGCGAAGATGCAGCCAGTCCTTGTGACTTATGATTTCTTCGTTATTACTATTCCTTTGTCTCACACCTCTGTTTACTGTCTCTATTATGCATTTCTTCTACTTTCTTCTCTTGCTTTGTGTGCTACAAGGAGGGAGTTTGGCGACTTGAACTGGAGCACATCAGTTCAAAGTTCGCCACTGAGAGTGGAAGACATGAAAAGACTAGCTGTGTTTGATCATAGGTGCCTGCGCTCTATTTCCCGTGTAAAGTGGCATAATAAGGTGAGCAACATTGAGGTTAGGCGTAGAGTTCTAGGTAAACAGGGGAAATCAATCGACGAAGTCGTGAAGTTACAAAGACTGAGATGGTTAGGACATGTATTGCGTACGTATGCGAAGCCATCGCCTCCCTCGACGAGCAATGTTAGCGGATATAGGGTCAGACTGGAAAAAAGCTAGCGGCGGTCAAACAAAAACTTCGCCTCACCAGTCAATGAAATCCACAACAGTTGGTCTAAGCCACGTAGGAAGGTGTAGACTTCCTGACTGGTTGGGGTCCTCGGGACGGTAAAAATCTATGGTTGGAAACAATTGGTGACATGGCTCAAAGTGATCGTTCTCAGTGGTTAACGCAGATGCATCCACTCCCTGTGACTTATGATCTTCAATGAAACTGTTTTGTACTTCTTTATTACTCCTTTGTCTCACACCTCTGTTTACTGTCTCTATTATGCTTTTCTTGTACTTTCTTCTCTTGCTTCGCGTGCTACACGGAGTGTGGCGACTTGAACTTCCGCACATTTGTGCAAAGTTCTATGTCGAAAACAGATAGTATGAAAGTCAAATCCTTCAATTAACGAGCCATATATATCCGCCTACCTTTAAACAGTAGAAATTTAGTTCTAAATTCCTATAATAGCACTTTCCGTTTTGCAGACCAGCTGTGTGTGTATACGCGTAGCATCAAGTCGTCTGTTTTACGTAAATTCTCACATAATTCTTATAGTATCCTTTAAAATTTACCTATCATTTCTTTTCTGTTAAATTGTAGAGAGGTTTGTCAACTCTCAAAGATTCTCGTGTATATGTTGATTCGTCAACGTCCACTGTTGACAGTGCCACGCTGACTGAACCGAATCTATTGGGTCCATGTGAACCGGGTACAAAAATTATTGTAGAAGGTGTTGTCTGGATGGAGGCTACAGGTGAGTTGATTTTTTTCAGTCTATCTTATGGTTGTGCTGACTTTTATTAGTACTGCAAACATGATGGCCCACCCCCCTAGTTTTTACCTGGTTATAAGCTGTCAGCTCCTTTGCTTGTTTTCCAATCTTTCTGTACTTGGGTCTCTCATTTGGTGTTTTTGGTGTTCCTCAAGGGGGTTTAGTAGGCATATTTATTCAGCTACACAAATCTCGTAGTTTGTGCAGCGACTGGGATACTTCACGGATGTCCAGATCGTAGCAGGTGGTTGTCTTTGACTTGGAGTTTGACCCACAAGTCGGGCTGGGTCCCCATACTTAATGGTGATCAAAGCAGGCTCGGACTCTGAAGCCCACATACACCACCATAGGGTTGGAATCAGAATTTTTCAAACCCCCCCATCACACCACAGGAAGACCAGCGTGTCCATGGTCCTTCTACTCTTCTTGTTTTCCCGTACTAGTTGTATTTTTGTTGTTATAGTTCTGATTGTCGAATAGAGTAGTATTCGTTCACGCGTCGAATCCACGTCGCTTGCATTTGCCATCACTCATATCAAATCTGGCATCAGATTAGTCTTGAAGATATATGAGCCCATCACGCTTGGAGAAATTAATGGGATGTTATTGCCTGGTGTATAGATACCATGTCTAACCAATAGAAATATCGAGAGCAGCTTATCGGAATCTATTTATCCCCTTTAGTACCGCTGAGTGAATTCCATGCGTAGAGATAATGCAGGAAAAGTAAGACTCCTACTTTGCCACTTCCACAGACGCCAAGTGGAAAATAATATTCATCATCGACACTGTCTACATATTCTGTCGTCGTTTGCGAGAGGATAGGTTGCTATTTAACCTATGATACCATTTTATGAAGCTGGTGGGTGGACTGTGAACGACAGCAGAGGAAAAACAACAGTAGATGTGGGCAATTCATTTCGTAAGTATTCGTAGAAATTCGTGTCATTTGTATGTCCCCTTTAGGTCTGTTAGGTCCACTCTAAGAAGTGATGTGTTGCTCTGGTGATGTCGCCTAGATGAACTGAACTCAGCCGATCACTACCTCTGACAACTTATTAGATATGTATTCAGCACTTTTCCATTCAGACTAACTTGTTGTTCCCCTGAGTGTTTAGACTTTCTACTACTAGTAGTAGTTCAGTAATTTGGTTATTATTATTATTGTTCCCTTGGGTTCCTAGTGGAACATAGAGCTTCAACTACACGTCTATACTTGCTTCTGTCTTCTCCTGTACTTTTCACCTGCATCCATGTCAGTCCATACTGTTTCAACTCCCTTTCATACAATCTCTATGTCACCCTTGCACTGACGTCCCACTCACCGCCGCTTCCCTTTCGGCCTGGTTCCACTCGAGTAATGGCCTGACGCGCGCGATATCACCCAGCGGCCTCCTCAGCGAGCGAGTGTCCAATCCATCTCTTCACTTTCTCCTGCATATTTGTTGGTTGGCGATTGGTTCTTGTTTGTTTGTTCCCAGCCATAGTTTCTTGTTGGTGATTCTCTCCGGTCAGGCCATCTGATCTTTAGTATAGAGCCAGCGAAGACAGTTGTTGATAAAGGTCACGTCTGCAACAGGCTGTTGGAAATACTCTTTTTGACCCGCCGCCAAGTTTCTGATCCGTATAGAAGAAGAGCTGGCTGACTTGACGTTTGTATTGAATTTTATTGATGCTGAGTGACGAAGATTTCCAGATTGGTTTCTGGTTGATGAATGTGTTTCTCGCCTGTCTTCCCGATTCTCGGTCGATTTGACATCCTCGCTCGTTCTGACTGACTGTAGTTGAGACAATACTCCCTAGATAAGTGAATGGGATAACCTCTTTCAAATCCCTCTCCCGTTTATAGTGATTAGCACTGGATGTTGTTGCTGCTGTTGTTGTTGTTGTTGGTTGGTTGGTTATTTTCACTACGATGCTCCATTTTGTCTATTTTCACCTGGAGTCATAGAGTTTAGTAATTGGAAACATTTATTTCCCGATATGAATTTTAAACAAGCAACAAAAGGTGTTAACAAAGCAGGATTTAATGAATTCATCAAATTTCGGTATATATATATACTATTAAGATAACATTGGGACATAAAAGACTTAGAAATATCAAGAATTCAGAACTAAATAATATTGGCAATAATAATAATAATGCTGAAACGAGTTAAGATAATGGTAATGATGAAAGAAGAAATAGTAATTTGGTGACAGCTGGCTGCGGACAAGCCAAAATTGTAAGCGACAATTTAAGTCAGTGTGTTACGTTCTGAATCGGGGTCATGAGAAGAAAACAAACAACAATAACAAAGCTTAACTTTGTAGAACTCTCACTAACCAATCACAGCAGATTTAACGTGTGGAAAAATACGATTCGCAGATATATGTGGTTTAACTATTTAAGAAACGGTCACAAGCAGTAAAGAATAATCTCATAAAAGAAAACAATCAATCAGAAGACATTGTTTCTCAGCTGACAATAATGCACATAAAAATCTATAAATATCTGTTGATATTCTCAATAAAAGATCTGTTGTCTGGCTCTTGCCTTCTGTCGTTAATGTAATACTAAGAGGTGGGATAAAATATTTATAAAAATAACAGTTAGTAAGAAGGAAACATGTTACTATGATACATCAGATTCACCACCATTTCCTGTTGATCACAGAGACCTGGTTATTAATTGACTTTAATTCTACAAGCCTCCTCGGCAATTGGAAACACCTTCCTGATTGTTTGTCTGCTCGCTGACAACAGTGAATGATTTGGCTGATAGAGTCAATATCACATCCGTAGTCTACAAGATGTTTTGTTATTGAGCCTTTAGGCAATTCGACTTTAAGTGTTTTCAACCACCTTGGCAAATACTGCATCATTCGAGTAGACAGTCGCCTTTCTGTACCACCACTGTATTTGTCTCCTCGCACAGATACTCAAATTGATATACGCGACAGTTTCAAGTGTCGAGTATTGGTGGCTGGTCTTTCCCAGACTGTTGAAGCACTCGGTTGATAGTGTTAAGGAAGACGAGTTCTGAGGCGTAATAAATTCTCTTGATATCTTTATCGAGCCTTCTTTTGACTATTTTTTGTTCTCGTCATCTCCTTTCAATAATGTAACTGATGCTCATCCTTTTAGGTCATTTACTGATGAACTTCTCAGGATAACCATTCTTAGATAAAAACTATCTTTCAGAGTCTTTATTTTGATGTGGTTGTGTTCTCTGAGCTGGCTGGATAGTTGATTTACGAAGCTTTCATCGCCCTACTAGGCGACATCTTCAGTGCATACTTCAAAAGTGCATCTCAGAAATCACCGCAAAACTCTTCAAACCTTTAGGAATTGACGTCACGCACTAACCAACAAAATTACTTCACTCAGTTGGTTCTGTGTCAACCAAAAAACTGAACAACGAAAGAAGGTAACACCAACATCATCATCTACAAAATAAAATTTAACAACTGCAGAAAACACTACATTGGACGCCAAAGTAGATGTCCCCTTCGTCTTCGTATCCACAAACATAAGCTAGCCGTCAAAAGACATGATATCCACTCCCTCACTCACTATTCTGCATACAGACGACCACGGACATCAATTCGACTGGAACAACCAGCGTTCAGATATCAGACAAAGGAGACAACAAGAATGCTAGAGAATTTGTAGAAGCTTGGCATTCCAGTGAATCATCAATCAATAGACACATCGAGATAGACAAAATTTATCAACCAATAAGAAAGAAACCTCACACACACACACACAAAGGATCAAAGTTCAAGTCAAAGAAACAATCAGTTGCAGTACAATACAAGTAACCTAGAAGGTGTGAAAACACACAAAAACAATCAATCACGTCCAAGTTCACTCACCTGGAGAGATGATTAATAAACTCGTGGAGAAATCTAAAATCTCACTTCAAATTGAAGTATGCGCTGAAGATGTCACCTAGTAGGGCGATGAAAGCTTCGCAAATTAACTATCCAGCCAGCTCAGAGAACACAACCACATCAAAACGGTATCATTTGTCTCATGTTCTGTTTATTGTGAAGTTAAGATTCGGATAGCATGAGTTAAATTTGGTCAACAGAGGTCAGTATATGCTAAGTCAGCCAGTTCTTCTGTATGGGTCAGATACGTACACTGTGTGTCACGAAAAGAATTTCCAACAAGTGACAGACTTTCATCAACTGCTGTCCCCTTCACTGACTTCGTGTACTGATCAAATGGCTAGTCGGTCACCTAGAAAGAATTAGTTACATTGAAACTCTGGTTCTGTCTGTCTGTCTGTCTGTTTTCGACATAGAACTTTGCACAAATGTGCGGAAGTTCAAGTCGCCACACTCCGTGTAGCACGCGAAGCAAGAGAAGAAAGTACAAGAAAAGCATAACAGAAACAGTGAGCAGAGGTGTGAGACAAAGGAGTAATAAAGAAAAACAAAACAGTTTCATTGGAGATCATAAGTCACAAGGAGTGGATGCATCTGCGCCACTGAGAACGATGAGTTTGAGCCATGTCACCAATTGTTTCCAACCATAGATTTTTACCGTCCCGAGGACCCCAACCAGCTATGAAGTCTACACCTTTCTACGTGGCTTAGACCAACTGTTGTGGATTTCATTGACTGGTGAAGCCAAGTTTTTGTTTGACCGCCGCTAGCTTTTTTCCAGTCTGCCCTTATATCCGCTAACATTGCTCGTCGAGGGAGGCGATGGCTTGGCATACGTAATACATGTCCTAACCATCTCAGTCTTTGTAGCTTCACGACTTCGTCGATTGGGAACAAACCAACAAGGAAGAGCCGATCGCTTAACACAGAGAAAATGCAGATGGGTTTAGCATGCGCCATTGAAGAGGCCGTCGAATGACATTGCATGTAATGCTGCAGACCATCGCATGGGTGGGAATCCAAATGGGGAGCGACGAGTGAGTCGTCGGTGCGAGGGTGATTTGGAGGAGATGAGAAATTATGGGCAATCGTGGACCACCCAGCTTACTACGCGGACAGCAGAAAAAATAGAAAAAAGGTGGAGATTTGTTGTTGAAACCCCCCTATATTTCATTAGGAACCCAAGGATTTATTTATCTAACTGTTGTGTTTCCATTTCATCTTAGCGAGAAGGCTGGAATCCAAGTCTACTTGTTTGTTCATCGCTAATGTAGGCGTTTAATTTCTGCTTTCTTTCTTTTTTTTTACACTGTAACATTTTTGCTCTCCATGCACTAAAACATGTTTTTGCATTTGTTGTTGTTAATTACTGCTGTCAGGAATGCTTGTTCTAAGTCTTCATTGGCGTGGTCGTAATTATATGGGTACTTTATTGGATTCATCCAAACAAACATTTGCGCCAACATGGTAAGTTACTTGTGTGTGTGATAAACAAATATGTCATCTATCCTGTGTTTCTGTCATTTATTGATTGATTGATTGGCCTCGTTTTATTTTGCAGACAATTCTTAGAATTCTTTTAGAAATAAATCATTTTCGTCGGTTACAGGGTTTAGTTTAAGACTCTTTATCAGTGCGCACCCTCCGTAGTTACAATATGATTACTCATCACATTTTTGACAACAATAACCCTAACTTATTTTTATTCTTATCGGACAAACCCTGATTTGCACACTACTTAGTGCTACTGCTCGGTTTGTTAGGCGCTTAATTAAGCCTGTCTTAACAGTTAACGGTTGAGGTGATGAATTAAAGTCTAAATATCTGTTAGCAGAATGTGTTGGTTCCTTTATAAACATTAGTGTGCAGTTTATCTTCTTCTGTTCGTTTTATTAACAATCCAGCTGCCGAGTCCCAAATAGGACGAAATGCGCATCCTAGATTCCACTGCTAGCCACCATCCACCAATTGTATACTAATTCTCCTTGTTCATTTTTCGATACAAATGTGAATTTTATTCCTTCCACTAGTGAGTTTATTTATATGTGTGTGAAGAAGCCAGACAGAGGGATATGTTCTGTTTTCAACACTGTGGAAGTGTCATCCATATATCTTCACCACATTTTGGGAGCAGGATTAAATGTATTAAGAGCCATATTTTCCCAGCTGTCCATAAATATATCTGCTACGATAGAGGATATTGGTGATCCCATTGCTACACCTTCTGTTTGTCTATATATTTTGCCTTGGAATTGAAAGATAGTAGATGTGAGGGATAACTGTATCCCTAAAATAATTTCTTCAATAGGTAGCTTCATCCTATAAGTGAGTTGAGGATCTGCAGTTAATCCGTTTTTAACTGCTTCTAAGGCGGGCATATTGATTGGTTTGTTAGTATAAAGACTAGTTATATCAAAACTGACCATTTTTTCATCATTCGCTAATTGAATGTCGTTTAGTTTATTTTTCATCTCATTTGTGAATTAGTTAGTCTAGAATTTGAACGATTTCTAATGGGGCATAGTATTAGAGCTAAGTGTCTTGATAAATCATAGTAGAAATACCCCTACTAATTTGCACACACCTACAAAAATAATTAAGTATAATTGCGATTGTACAGCTAAGTGAATGAATTCGCCGCCGTCGCCACCGAAAAAAGACTCTTCACTGAACACTAAGTGTTTTTGTCTTCATTAATGTCTACAACAGGAAACAATGGAAGCTTCACAATCAAGTTGGAAGTTCGAATATCTGTTTGAATGTGTGAGTTTCCTGTAAACACGCTAGTATGGTGTTTAACGTCCCACTTTCCTGTCCTTTTTGCTCTGCAATCTAATATTGTATGTAAGTTCCCCTTCCTATCTTTCCAATTCATAGGTGTTTTTGAATTGCCTCCACGCACACATTCAAACAGATATTTGAACTTCCGATCATGCCACCCAATCTATGTCAGTCAAAATAGGATTGGTGAAATGCTGAAGTGAAACGAGCACGAAAACTAAGTCGGGCGATAAGAAGTGAGGCATGTAAGAGAGGCTTTGAAACTTGATAATTACCCTAATTATTTAGTCAGAAAGTATGTAGGAAAATTTAAAATTAAAGATAAAATAAATAATGATAGTAGTGGTGATGATAATAATAATTATAATAATGACGACATGCATGTCAAATATGCGCAAGACAACACCAACAATAAGGAATCTAAATCATCAGTAGTAATTCCAAACAAGGAAGGAACCTCGGAAGCCTTACGCAGAATTCTTAACAATACAGGCAAGAATAAAAGTGGCTGGCATTCAAAACACCCACAAACTCAATTAGAAACAATCTTTGTCGATTAAAGGATCAATCCTGTGGAGCCTTTAAAACAAAACAATTTAGTTTATCTAATACCCTGCCTGAGATGATTGTCAGGTCAAATACATAGGTCCAACTAGTAGAACAAGGGCAGTCAGACCAGCCGAACATAAAAACCTAGCTAAATTTAGACTGGTTGACCCGAATAAGATAAGAAATCTAGAGAATAGTTCGGCTATAGCACTCACTGCATGCAGTTACACAACCATACAATAGGCTGGATGGGATGGGATGGGATGACAATTTTAAAATCTAATGTAACAGCAGGGTGGAGGAAGAGATTGATAACAAACTTTGTGCCTATCTTATCAACTACAGATACGTTTAAACGGAATGATTCAACATCTGTCCATTCGGATATCTGGAAAATTCTACTACCCCAACGACGACAAATAAGAGAGAACAAAGAAAACTATAAAACTCAAGTTTCGAAGTCGTGTGATTATAATAGATGATATGATTATGAACCGCGATAAATTTTGTTCGAAACATTGTCATCCAGTGAATAATGCTGTTTCCTCAATGTGTGATGTGTCTTATAAACAAGGGTATCCTGAAGTTCTGATAAGAATTTCGGTGCTAGTTGGGGTCCAACAAGTTGGATGTGAGGACAAATATTCATCGATGATTTTGGTTGGCAGTCACGTGTCATGTATCGCGAATTAACAAAAGTTAGAATTGATGAACCATTAAATAGCGTCGCAGTGACCGGCTGGTTAAGAAAGCTCTCATTGTAACCCGAAGATCCTGTGTTCGATCCCTGGTAGAGTTATTAGTACGTACAGGATGAAAAGTCCCAATCTGGGACGAATCAGTCGTCCAGTACTCCCTGGTTTTGTATTGGTTCTCCTAATGATATCAATCCTTGGTTGAGCCTATAGCCAATCAAAACTCCGCAAATTAACACTTGATAACCAACTTAATGCCTAGTGGTGACCGTCTCCATACAGGAAGTCACCTGGAGTCGCAACCAATTCATGTATAAAGACATTTACTCTCCAAAGACATTAGGAGAGGTTAGAATTCATAAACTATTTAATCAGATCCCAGTCACTGAATGGTCAACCAGCTCGCCTTGTAAGTGTAAGGCCCTGGGTCCGAACTCCATTGGGTGACTATTGACAAAGAATCCCAAACAAGGACAAGACAGTCTCACAGTACTCTCTGATCTTTCAATGGTCCTCAAATTGAAGTCGGTTTGTGATTGAATTTGAAGTTGCATTTGGGAATTTGCATCAGCCCCCACAGTGTTGATCTCTGACGAAGTCTCAGCACGGATACAGAGGGCTAGTTTCTCATATGCCAGCTTACGCCGTCTCTGGCGCTGGTAGACGTGATATCCAGATGGCTATCGACTAGAGGGCGGGTGTACTGCTCAGCAGTCCGCTCCGTCCTCCTTCATGGCCAGCTATGAAACTTGGCCATTGAGAGTGGAGGACATGAAAAGCTTGGCTGGCTGTCTATGATCATAGGTGACTGCGTTCTATCTCCCGTATGAAGTAGTATAATAGGGTAAGCTACAAATCTCCACGATTATTTCAGTAACCTTGTATATCTGTAATTCTAAGTCATGATATTTTATTTGAAATGTTTTTTTGTCCTTTATAGCATGGATAAAGGTGTAGCCAGTGCATTAAATCTTCTTCGTGGACGAAAAGCCTGGTGTGATCCATCACAAAGAGGTTATCAAGCTCGTGGTATTCACCACTTTCATCATATGCGTCATCATCGTCGTGGAGGTGGTAGCGGGGTTGGTACCGGTGGACATGGTGTCAGCGGTTCAATGACAACACGATCAGCATCTGCTGCGGCCGCTGCAGCATCCCAAGATTCAACAGCAGAGACAGATGTCGACGCTAAAGAACAACAACCTACAAATAATGATCCTTATTCAACCGATTGTATAGATCAGCCTTATATGGCGCCAGAAACAACTTTTAATAATCATAATAATAATAATAAAAGAACACTTCCACCTTCTGACATTCCTCAACGTGGTGCTAAAGGACGTAGACGTCGTGGTGGTGGTGCTGCTGGTCGACGATCAATAATACATCATTCAGTGAACAGTGCTCAATCTCTTTCTAATGAAAATCTTTTAACTTCTTCTGAGGTGAAGTCATCCGCACCAACGGATGATAATGCTGTTGTACATAATTATGAAACTCCTGTAACTGACAGTACCACAACTGGTGATTCTGATTCCACCAGTCATCTTCCATTAAGCTGTCCATTTATTGATTGTAAAAAACGTTTCGCGGATATTTTAAGTATGCGTTATCATTTTACCCTAGGGCATAGCACACAACAAACGAATGAAACTGAATCGGTTCAAAGTTTATCCAACGTTTATCCCTCCCAGAGAAAGCAGCTGAGGAATTCAATGAAAACTGAGAAGAAGAATGCTGGCGTTACCGCCGACAATCATGATGATGATGACGATGATGCGGGGGATGGTGTTGATGACTATGCAGAAGATGGTGATGATGATGAACAAGTGGAAATATCGATCTGTGATATATCGGCTAGTTCATCCTCCCCACCACCAAAATTAGCTAGAGCACATGTCATTAAGGATAGAAGTAGTAGTGATAGCAATGATACAAGTCTACTGCTAATCAATGGAGATGAAAATGATGATAATATTGAACCACCGAAACTCCACCGTGTCATCTCAATCCCTGATTCTTTCCCTGGTGTCGGTGTCCATCCAACAGGTATAGGCGATTCAACAACGTTGAAATTTGATACTATTAATAACAATATTATTAATAATAACACTACTACTACTACTACTAATAATAATAATAATGTGTCGGATATTCCAGACGATGAACCTCCAGCTGCAAGTCCTGCCTATTCAGATATATCTGATGATGGTACAGTATCCTCGACAACAACTAATATTCCTATGTTAAATGTTGCCAGAGCAACAGTTGATGTGCATAGTTCCCGTGAATCATTACTCTCTAATTCTCCGTCTACTATTCTCTCCTCAAATCTCTCTAATCAATCATCATTATCTCAAGGATATATTGATGTGTCTAGACGGCTTAATCTCTCTCCACTGATTCTTTCCGCTTGTTCTCCAACTCTTCTTACCGCTGGTACCGGGGATTCAAGTAAACTTTATCTACCAGCAAATCTATTTCCATCGAATTTAAAAGGTGTGAATAGTATTTTCTATCAAAATCCCGCCACAACAGTCAAATGTGTAGATAAACAAAATATAGAGAATGGCTTGAAATCGATTGGAAATAATTCTACAATAAATTTTTTAAATGATATATCAAGTCCTCAATCCTCTTCCTCTTCCTCCTCTATCATGAATGGCATTTCATTGGCTCCTGCTCCTCCTGTTCCTGCTAATTTGATTCCCCCACAGCCTTTATCTAATAACCATCAGCATCATTCGAATTCCAGTCGACCGTTGACATTTCTGTCTGTTTCCCCTGGATTAATTAATGAACAAAATACCCGACCATCATCGACAGGACCGTTTATATCTAATCCTCCGTATACATTTTGTGTTTCAAGAAATTCGCCTATCCCCCCGCCATTACCCGGTAAGTTTTTGGTACGTTTTTAAAAAAAAATCCTAAATCGTTCCTTCGATAAGTTGGTGTGTATATTTATTATCTGATTCAGATGTAACCGAATTTGTTTGCATCTTTATCTATCGAGCTGTAAATAGTTCGGGTTAGTCCATGAGATACATTAAGTAGGGAGAGGGGACTAGAACTTGCTACATGCACTATTCCATCTTACATCTGAGAAGAACTCAATGTTTTACCTCAATGGTCAGGAACGGTTCATTTGGGTACAGGCTACCAAACTGTCCAATGGTACGGTCTAAAGTGGCTGAAGAGGGATTCAACCCTTGAACCTACTAACTGAAAGTAGACTGGCCCGACCAATCTCGTGAACCTAACTTTTTATTTATTTGTTTTCCCTTCACGTTCCTCAGTGGAACAGAGGGCTTCAAGCTGGTGGCTTGAAGTTTCTGTAGTAGTGTTTATTTTACAGGATGAGGTTGCTAGCCTACCTCATGCCCAACCTTTCCTCTTTACCAGGATTATTTCTGGCTTAGCGAGGTAAAGGAGTGTGTCTGTGGCCGAGAATCGAATCCCGGACCATGTGCATGGTCGGCGTGAGTCCTAACCGCTGTGCCACCGACGCTATTGGGATGGAATCGCTTAGTTTGTCCTAGATGTCAGATGTGGAACGGCCTGAGAAGAAAGTAAAGAGAGATTCATCAAAAGAAAGATGATAAACAGAAATATGAGGCCAAAAGAATAGTAATATGGAAGAACAATACAGTTTTTATTGGATATGATGAGTGGTAAAGAGTGAATGCATCTGCGCCAACCATTGACAGCGATTTTGAGCTACACCATCACCACTTGTCTCCAGTCAATAGTTCTTACCGTCCTATGAACCCTAACCAGAAAGTCTACATCTCCCTGCCTACGTGGCTTAAACGAGCTGGTGTGTGGATTTGTGTGTGTCATACGTAATGCAAGCATTTAAGTCATTGATTCTTGATATAAAGTGTGAATTCCACTCAGCCAATTTCACGCCTCATATTTTTTATACAACCCTGAAACCGAAAATCAGAAGCTTCATAAATTCTTAAATTGATTGAACACTAGTTAGTAACCAGCGGTGTACGTCTAGTCCCTCTTTGTTTAGTGCAGATTGAATTGTATCAGTCAACTTTGCAATGTGGCCACCATACCACTAGGTGAATCGCCATCAAGTTGCATTTTGAATTGTTGATACTAAATAATATTGTCCTACAGAAGGTCAGTCACGGACCCGAATAGCTCCGTGAAGGTTAACGTCTCTGACTGCAGCAGCTACTGATGATGCGGGTTAGAATCTCAGAAGGAACATGAGTTCCTTCAAGTTTGCAGATACATCCTTCTGACTGATGAGTGCCTATTAGCACAAAATCTAGGCCAGGTTGGGCTTCTTTCCGATTGCCTCCAACTATCTAATACTTCAAGGACATGTGTACTGCTCAGCAGTCTACTCCGTCCTCCTTTATGTCTGTGAGACCTGGTCATTTAGGGTGGAGGACATGAAAAGGCTAGCTGTCTCTGATCATTGGTGCTTGCGTTCTATCTCCCGTGTGAAATGGTATAATAGGGTGAGTAATATTGAGGTGAGGCGTCGGTCGAGTACCAGGTGAGGATGGTCGGGGGTGGGTGTCTTGCGCTGCGGGTTGGCCACCCCTCCGTACACCTCTTGAAATGCTCCCATATGACCGGGCGTCTTACATAGCCTCTCCTGAGGAAGTCCTACTCACTGCCTTCACGTGGCGGAGGTGTTTTTCACCAAAGTGAGAGGGCAAAAGCGGATGCCCGGCGCTCTTCACCGGGTTGACTGTCCATTGGATGACAGTCTAGGGGAGATGGCTAAACCCTGATTCCAAACCTCCAACGACTGGCGTATGAAGCTCACCGGAGTTCACCGGCAGACGTATGGACAAAGGGCTTATTGGATGCCCTGGATGACTGGCCCCATTCAAAAAGGCGAATGAACCAGACTCCGGTCACCGGCTGCCAATGGATAGTGGACTCCCTACTCCACTCCTACTGCCTTGTAGGTCACACTTGGTTGTGTAAAGGCTAGAGCTGCACTCTCAAACAAAAGGCCGAGCGATGCTGGGGACATCACTCGTACCCAATTCCCATGAAACTTCATGGTTCATGAAGCCGGCTCATCCTCCCGTAGGAGATAGCCGAAGTAAAGTAAAAAGTAAGTAAGAGGAGGGAAGATCAATCGACGAGGTTGTGAAGGTAAATCGATTGAGTGAGATGTTTAGGTTATGTGTTACATATGCGCCTAGCCATCGCCTTCCTCAATAGTCTATGTTAGCTGACATAGGGTCAGGTTGGAAAACAGCCACTGGTAGTCAAACCAAAACATGGCTTCCTCAGTCAATGAAATCCACAACAGTTAGTGGAAGGAAGGTGTAGACTTCATGGCTGGTTGGGGTACTCGGAACTTTAAACACCAATGGGTGGAGACAATTGGTAATATGGCTGAAAATCGTTCTCAGTGGTGCAGATGCATCTACTCCTTGTGATGTATCATATCCAAAAAAACTATATGGTTCTTCTATATTACTATTCTTTTCTTGCTTTGTGTGCTACAAGGAGGGAGTGTGGCAACGTGAACTGCCACACATCTGTGCAAAGTTCTATGTTGAAACCAGCCAGCCAGCCAGCCAGTCATCTAATACTTCATGAATAAGATCACATCCAAGTTCTCGTCTGCTGGAGTGTTTGATTAATCTCAGCTTAGATCATGAACTGACATTAGTAAAAACATCCGGGGGTACTGGATGGATGTTTCACTCTAGTTTGTAACACTTCAGGACTAGGCATCTCTGTGATTTGGGAACTTCTTTTAATTAAAATTTACCTGTTTCATTATTCTAGGTCAAAACTCTTAATTGTATTCAGTTACACTTTCATTAACTTTGAATTAACAAGAAAGATCACTTCATAGTTAAGTGACTTTTTGGAATCCCAACTTCTCACAGCATGAAATTATAGATCCCTTTTTTGGAGTAGTTGAAACATAAAAGGAGCATTAGTGTTATGTGATCATAGAGCTCAGGGGATAACTGTTTGAAACCTATCACACACACACACCTTTTTGAGGTGGGTCTTGCAGTTGTGTCCTTTTCAATATCTTACCGCTGGCCTACGAACCTCCCCTGCCATGCGTTGTCGTTCTAACCTCAGTTATGTAATCCATTTGATTTCACTTACATAATAACAATGTGCTCAATAATTTCCTATTAAACTTGCGTGTTGGTGTGTGTGTGTGTGTGTGTGCGTAAGTGTGTTTTTATGCGAAGATTGTTTCTTCATTAGATAGGCTTATTTGACATGACACAGCTCAAATTCTGTCCTTATAGGTGACGACGACGAAGCCCGGAGATAAGATGACATATTTATCACTCTGCCTACTTTGTTCTTTTTGTAAACGTCTCACTGAGAAATGGTTATTATTTATTCCCTTACGTTTCGAGCGGAACACAGGGCTTCAACAACGCATCTCCACTTTGTTCCGTTTTCTGCTGTCTTCTTCGGCTGGCTGGCTGGCTGGCTACCTCCACGACTGACCAAACTCTCTTATCTCTTCCTCACTTCGATCTCCTCCACGCCACCCTTGCACAGACGACCCACTCGTCGCTTGCTTCCCATTCGGGGACTCCATTCGACCGATGGCGCCTGCACTTCTTCCGATGTCATTCGGCTGCCTCCTCCTCCTCCTCCTCAATGGTGTGTACCCGATCCATCTCCACTTTCTCTTACATATATCTGTGTTGAGCGATCAGCTTTTGCCTGTTGGGGTTCCTCACCAGTCAGAGTTTCTTGTTGCTAACTGTTCGTCGCTGGTGGTCATCCGATCTTCAGTCAGCCGACGAAGGTGACAACTGTTAGTTAATGAAAGTCTGCAGTAACTTGCTGGAAATTCTTTTCGTGACGCGAGTACAATGTAAGTTTCTGACTCGTATAGAAGCACTCACTGACTAACTAACTGACTGACTTCACATTTGTGTAAATTTTTATTGTTATTGATTGACTATTAATTGTGATCTTTCTTTCCTTTCTCATGTCTTATTATTTTCTAGGTGTTTCCGATCAAAGAATATTATCACCGCATAATACAAATCATAATCATAACCATTCAACTTCTCATCGTCAACCGCCTACAATGTCATAATGTGAAGAAAAAATCTGTACGCATGTTGTGTTGTTTGTGAATGTGTGTGCCTATGCCAATTGAGTGAGTGAGCGAGTGAGTATTCTCTCTTTCCTCTCAGCTCTCTTTGAAATCAGATGTTGTATATTATTTATCTTTGTACACACACACACACATTCACAAATTCTTGTATACAGTACAATAGTTGACAGGTGGTAGTCGTAGAATTATGATTGTTACTACAACAACTACTACCACGATCAATAATTATGACATATTAATTTTAGCTCTTCCCTCCTCCACCACCACCTTGACCCTTACTCGTCTCCCACACACCCCTCCCCACCGCTGAGAATTATCAGTGACAACAACCAGAGTTGTGTTGTTTTTTACCTCTATGCTCTTCTAATTTCTACTGATGTCTTTAATACGTTACCACGACTACCGCTGCTTCCAGACGTGTCAACACTTTTTTCTTAGACCTTCTTTTATTGATTTTTGATTTCTCGCTTTCCTGTCGCCTCCTCCTCCCACATCCGCTAGCCATCTGATCCACCACCCCCACTCCTTTTACTTCAGTCTAATTTTCTGTGTATTTTCCCTTTTTTGTGCATAGAAATGTAAACTGGATGATGAGTACCCGTCAACTTGTAGATTATGTTTGTGTGTGTGTGTGTGTATGTGCGGGGCGAGACGAGGGGTAGCGGGGTTTTTTTTATTTCATGTTTTTCTTCTCTGATTCATCTTCTTTTTTGATCTTTTGTGTAATTTTTCATCTTTCTCTTAACAGTCAATAAGAATTTGTTAAATAATACAGAATATTCACCGAGGGTCTTTCATAATTCAGTATATTTTTTTTGCAATTATTACCATTACTACTTATTACCACTACTATTGATACTACTACTACTATTTATTGTATACAGTTAGTTTTCTACATACCTCTCTCTCTCTATGTACTTTATTCTTCTTCTACACATTCTCACATTAGCAGGGCAAAGAGAAGTCATGCATGTAAATCCTTGAATGTGTGTGAGTGTGTGTGTGCGTTTGTGCATTGTTTTATATTCAGTATTCCTGTCTTTTATCATCATTATCATCTTGGAGAGAGGAAACTGTTAGTTAGAGACAAGGAGAGGCGACAGAAGGCGGGCAGGCAGGCAGACGAGGAATTGTCATTGCCGATGTGGATGGTCCTCATTATGTGTGTGTGTTAGCGATGATCTTGAAGATATGAAGAAAAAGAAAGCGGATGATCAATGTGTCGGTTCGTAGAAAGTTAAACTGTTCACAAAAGAAAGCGGAGAAGGGGAAAGAGTTTCAATGTGTTGCACAGAATGAGGATCCTTTGAATATTGATTCATAAATGTGTGTATATATAAATAGAGAGAGAGATACATCGTCTTGTCGTTGGAATCCCTTCTTGCTTTGTGTATCGCTTATTATCTCACTGTTGCCCTTCCCGAAAATTCCTCTTCTACTGTCTGTCAAAAACTCACATACTGACATACACGCACACACACACAACACAAATATTAGCCCACTCATTATACACAAAGCCTTCCTGGAGCAACCCACCCTCGCAATCCCCCTCGCCTCTTCTCCAGTAATCGTGTTGTAGTTATCTCACCTACCCCACATCAAAATTGATCACTGTGTTGTAATCAGAAGAGAGCAAATTAAGGCCTGAGGAGAGAAGTGCCGGATTTGACTTCTCCACTGCAATCCGTGATTTAAAAGTAGACATCCTCCTCCATTGTCAAACACAACAATAACAATAACTAATAAAAAATAATAGAACTAATTTTCTCCATCTATTTTGATTATTCTTCTTATTATTATTGCTACACCACCATTATTATTATTCTTTTGATGGTGATGGTGATCTTGATCTTGATCGAAAATTGTTCTACAACTAGTCTCTCTCCATCTATCTATCTCTGTGTGTGTGTGTGTGTGCTGTTTTTACTGTTACAGTGTGATTTCATTATGTACAGGAAATGAGAAAAAAAACCTACGTCAAATAAAAGTATCGATTGATATTCTTGGCGGTGTCGTTTTTTCCCCTATCTTGTAATGTCACCACTACTGAGACGTATATAGCGGCATCCATACTGTGTGAAGTGTGTGTGTGTGGAACGACAGTAGGTTATTCTGTACTACTTGTGACCGTTTCTTAGAAAGTTAAGCCATATATCTGCGAATCGTAATTGTACACATTAAGTCTACTGTGATTGGTTGATGAGTTCCTCAAGGTTAAGCTTTGTTATTATTATTATGATTATTATTATTATTATTGATCTCTCGCGGAATCTCAGTACGGATCTGTCTGTCTGTTTTCGACATAGAACTTTGCACAAATGTGCGGAAGTTCAAGTCGCCACATTCCGTGTAGCACGCGAAGCAAGAGAAGAAAGTACAAGAAAAGCATAATAGAAACAGTGAGCAGAGGTGTGAGACAAAGGAGTAATAAAGAAATACAAAACAGTTTCATTGGAGATCATAAGTCACAGGGAGTGGATGCATCTGCGCCACTGAGAACGATTTTGAGCCATGTCACCAATTGTTTCCAACCATAGATTTTTACCGTCCGAGGACCCCAGCCATGAAGTCTACACCTTCCTACGTGGCTAAGACCAACTGTTGTGGATTTCATTGACTGATGCCAAGTACGGATACAGAGGGATAGTTTCGCGAATGCCAGTTGATGCCGTCTCTAGCTTAGTATACGTGATATCCGACTGACTATCGACTAAAGTGTGGGTGTACTGCTCATCAGTCCGCTCCGTCCACCTTTATGGCCAGCTGTGAGACCTAGCCATTGAGCGTGGAGGACATGAAAAGGCAAGCCAGCTGTCTTTGACCATAGGTGCCTACGTTCTATCTCCCGTGTGAAGTGGTATAATAAGGTGAGCAATATTGAGGTTAGGCGTCAAGTGCTAGGTAATCGACAGAGATAGTTAGGACTTGTGTTACGTATGACTAGCGTAGTCATAGCCCTACTAGACGAATAATGTTAGCTGACATAGGGTCAGGTTGGAAAAGAGCTAGCAGCGGTCAAACCAAAACATGTCACCAGTCAATGAATTCTACAATAGTTAGTTTAAGCTAGCCACGTAGGAAGGTGTAGACTTCATGGCTGTTTGGTGTCCTCGGGACGGTAAAAACTAATGATGGCTTGAGACAACTGATGGCGATATGGCTCAGAATCCTTGTCAATGGCTAGCGCAGATGCATCCACTCCTTGTGACTTATGATTTCCTGCGTCGGTGGCACAGCGGTTGGGACTCTCGCCGACCATGAACATGGTCCGAGGTTTGATCCCCTGCCGACTCACACCTGAGTGATATCTATGGTTGGCCTGCGAAATTTGGGCTACCGATATCCATGCTGAAAATTCCATACTTGTAGCAAAAATGCTGTGTGGAATCAAGCTGTAATCAAAAATAAAAAAACAAAACTATATTGTTCTTCGTCATTACTATTCCTTTGGCTCACACCTCTGTTTACTGTCTCTGTTAAGCATTTCTTCTACTTTCTTCTCTTGCTTTGTGTGCTACAAGGAGGGAATGTGGTGACTTGAACTGGTGCACATCGGTGCAAAGTTCTACGTCGAAAACAGACAGACAGTGAGACAAATTGTTTTTCTCATGACCGCGGTTTGGGACGTAATATTGACGTAAATTGTTGTCTACAATTTTCGGCCTGCAGCTAGCTCTCATCACAGTGTGCTTATTATGCTTAGGTTGTACAAAGAGGAAGAGGGTTCGAATCCCTGTGGTGGGTGCGTACTGCTGAAGAGTCCCAAACTAGGGCGAAACAGTTGTCCAGTACTCCCAGGTTTTCCAATGGTCCTCTAACCAATGTCAGCTCATGAGCTATTGGATTCCATCACTAGTGGAATAATGGCGTATGCTGATAAACAGTCCCAAGCAGGGACGAAGCAGTTGTTCAGTACTCCCTTGCTCCTACTTGAGACGTCATTTTGCGATCATTGGTTTTGATTCTTTGTAGGTTAAGACATCAGCCTTACTTCATTATTTTGAGGGTTGATGATACTGTCCAGTTGCTCAAGCTTTGAATTAAGTGCAGCAAGATTCGAACTTGGGACTCATTCCCTGGAGTAGTGCTAGTTCCTCAACCAATGAGTCACATACTGATTGTGTGTATAGTCACTTTGGATATTTTTAGATATGTTTCTGAACTAGATTAATAATGTTAAGAGGATTGTTCGTGACGAGCCACATGAATGATGAAATCGAGTGCTAGATAAGGAGGAGAAATCAATTGACGAGGCTGTGAAGTTACATCGACTGAGATGGTTAGGACATGTGTTACGTATGCGTAGTCATCGCCTTCCTCGACAACGAGCAATGTTAGCTGACATAGGGTCAGACTGGAAAAGAGCTAGTGGTGGTCAAACCAAATCATCGCCTCATTAGTCAATCAAATCCACAACAGTTAGTTTAGGCTAATCAGCCACGTGAGAAGCTGTAGACTTCCTGACTGGTTGAGGTCCTCGGGACGGTAAACACCAATGACAGCTGGAAACAATTGGTGATATGGCTCAAAATCCTTCTCAATGGCGCAGATGCATCCACTCCTTGTGACTTACAATTTACAATGAAACTATACTGTTCTTCGTTATTACCATTCCTTTGTCTCACACCTCTGTTTACTGTCTCTATTATGCATTTCCACTAACTTTCTTCTCTTGCTTTGTATGATACAAGGAGGGAGTGTGGAGACTCGAACTGTAGCCCATCGGTGCAAAGTTCTACGTCGAGAACAGGCAGACAGACAAAATGATGATAGGGTAATCGCGACTGTTGTTAATCATTCCGTCGCTCATTTTCATTAGAATTTCTGGAAATCTATCTTGTAACTGGCAGTCAGGGAGCAGTATGATGAAACACCTAAACTAGTCAGTGCTTCTTAATTTCCAATAGTCCTTTAGTTGTACCATCTTATAGGAAAAACTGCCTGGAGATAATAGATTGAATCCTCACACAGTAATCGATTAAGATGTCAGGTTTAGGAATCCTCTTTTGAGAGGGGCATTGCCATCCACGAAATGGCTTGATCTATGCACTGATGATTTACAGTATAGCACCTAGGTGCTTTTCTATACTGCAAAAAGTAAAATTTTAGGAAGTTGTGTAAGAGATTCCATAGAAGGTGGCTATGAGAGTTGTCGTCAAACTTTAAGTATACCACTGAACGACACTGACTGGAATTCTGGAAGTGGTGTCAGTTTCTTTGCAACTATTTTCATGGTTATCATTTAAGGCGAGATAAAATGGCTTGTCAAACGAGTGAGTAACTTATTTTTTCCATCACGTTCCAAGTGGAACATAGGGCTTCAAGCTAGTGGCTATAGCAGTGTTTAATTTTACAGTATGAGGGTTGCTAGCCTACCTCATGCCCAACCTATTCTGTTTACCAGGATTATTTCTGGCTTAGCGAGGTAAAGGAGTGTGTCTGTGGCCGAGAATCGAACCCCGGACCATATTCATGGTCGGCCTAATCGCTACCCCATCGACACACACACAGTGAGTAACTTTAGAACTTGCAAATTCGTGATTACTTATTTAGACAAACTCAACAGATTGAGTGAAGAAATATTCAGTCCTTTTCAATGAGTAGTTCCTCATCATCGATTGGTTCTGCACTTGTATACATTTTTTTACATCAAATTTCTTTTTTACTACTGTACAGTATTTAAATTCCAAGGGAAGATGTACAAACAAACTGAGGGAGTTGCCATGGGATCACCAATATCCCCGGTTGTAGCAGATATATTCATGGATAGGTGGGAAAAGATAGCTATTGAAACGTTCACCCCCACCCCAAAAGTATGGTGGAGGTATGTAGACGACACATTCACCGTACTTAGAACACAAGATATAGATAGATTTTTCGAGCACATCAACTCGAAGGTAGAGGCAATTCAATTCACTTATGAATTGGAAAGTCACAAAGGGGAACTTCCAATGCTAGATTGCAACGTAAAAAGGAAAGAAGATGGGAAGCTAAACACTAGTGTTTACAGAAAACCCACACATTCAAACATACATATTTGAATTTCCGATCATCCCATCCTATGTCAGTAAAAATAGGATTAGTGAAATGTTTAAATGACAGAGCACAAAAACTAAGTAGTACCAAGGAAAATCTAAGACAGGAAGTGACACACATAAAAGAAGCCTTGAAACTTAATAATTACCCGGATAAATTAGTCAAGAAATATGTAAGTAAATGTAAAAATAAAATAAATAATGATAACAGAGATAGTGATAATAATAATATTAATAACGACACCAGCAATAAGGAATGTAAATCATCAACAATAATTCCATACAAAGAAGGAACCTCGGAAGCCTCACGCAGAATTCTTAACAAGGCAGGAATAAAAGTGGCGGGCATTCAAACCCACAAACTCAATTAGAAACAAGCTTTTTCGGTTAGAGAATCAATCCTGTGGAGCCTTTAAAACAAAACAATTTAGTTTATCTAATACTCTGCTGGAATGATTGTCAGGTCAAATACATAGGTCAAACTAGTAGAACAGGGACAGTCAGTCAGTCAGACTGGCAGAGCATAAAAACCTAACAGCAAAATCTAGATTGGTTGACCTGAATAAGATAAGAAATCTAGAGAATAGTTCAGCTATAGCACTGACTACACGCAGTTTACACACAACCATACAATAGGCTGGATGGGATAGGATGACAGTTTTAAAATCTAATGTCACAGGGTGGAGGGAGAGATTGATAACGGAAGCTTTGTGCTTATCGAATCAACTGCAAATACATGTAATAGGAATGATTCAACACCTGTTCATTCAGATATCTGAAAAATTCTGTTACCAAGCCTACGACGACAAATAGGAGAGAACAAAGAAAACTATAATATTCAAGTTTCGAAGTTGTGTGATTACAATTGATATGATTATAAACAATAAATCTTGTTCTAAACACTGTTATCCAGTAAATACTAATACTGTTTCTTCACTGTGTGATACATCTAATAGGCAAACTAATATGGAATTACTTACTACCACAATAGCTAAGTCTTACACATATATTCTAAAAATTAAATTTGTAAAATGTCAGAGAAATTGAAATGAGTAATTCAA